CTTCTCCTTCTTTTTGGTTGTCACATTGTGGATTGGAGCCTTTTTTTGTTTTGCTGATTTTGTCTGTACCTCGGTTGGTTTGGTCCCGTTGTTCGGGCTATCTTATGGGCGTGGCTGTGCTTTCATGTGGGACCAGCCATTCGGGTTTTTGGCATCCTGSTTGGTTGTTTCCCGTTGTTCGGCCCTTTGAGAGGCGGGGCGGTGCCTGTATGTGGGAATCGTCATCCAGGATTGTCTTCTCTTTTTTTCTTGGTTGTCACACTGTGGATCGTCGCTTTTTTATGTCTTGTCCTGGGTGCTCTTGTCCCGTTGTTTGGCCTTTGACGGAGCGGGCGGTGCTTGCATGTGGGACTTGTCATCTGGGATCTGTCTTGTTTCCCTCTTTTCTATTTGTTTCATTTGGCTGTTCCCTTCCTCTCTTCTTTGCCTCTTTGCCTTTTGGCTGTGTGCAAGTGGGTCGATATGACACACGGGCGTAGGGGCAGCCGCCGCTCAACCTACATCCACGTGGGCGGCCTTGTACGCAAGAGGTTCTGAACAGGGGGAGTTGTAAGGAAGAAGATTAAAAACGAATTTAAGATTTTTTTGTGTTTTTGTTTTTTTCGCTTAGGCGCTCTGATATCATGTGACAATATATATTTTCCCTTTTTCTTGTTTTTTTCGCTTTTGCGCTCTGATATCTTTGTGACGATATATGTTTTACCTCTTTCTTCTCGTCTCGTATGTGCTCGTTGGACTTTTTTTTTTTGGTAGCGCAACGGTTTGTTGGACCTTTTTTTTAATTAAGAGTTCCGACGGCGGGCGAACTAGCGCAACAGAATGTCGAGAGTTTCTTATTTTCCTGTGTTTTGAGCTAGGCTACCAGCCAGCCGGGCTGCCCGCGTCACCCTATTTTCCCGGGCGGGCCGGCCGTGCAAAGACCAGGGGAGGTCCTAGAAAAAAAAAACTAGGCTACCAGCCAGCCGGGCCGCCCGGGTCACCCTATTTTCTTGGGCGGGCCGGCCGTGCAAGGACCAGGGGAGGTCCTAGAAAAAAAAAACTATGTTATGCAGAAAAATAAACGGAACAACTTTTGGCTCAGGGTCACTTCGAAATACTTTACCGAAGTAAAAAAAAAAAAAAAAAATCATTTTTTGATTTGTTGTTGCTCTTCTTGGCCCGGCCTGCCAAGTGGTCCCGGGCCACTCTGGTAGCCGAGGTGTTGAGTCAATGCCAATGAATTAATTAAGTTAAATTGTAAATTAAGATATATAAATAAATCAAATTAATGATATTTCTCTCCGTCGGTCGATCGTCACGCTTTATTCCTTCGGCTGGATTTGTGGTTTTGTGGTCGGGATCGGGGCCCAGTGTTCGAGGTCCATAATTGAATTTGCTGACGTGGATGAATGACTGGTCAAGGGAGTGGGGGGGCTTTTCCCCGCCCGCGCTGAGGGGGGAAAAGGTGTGGACGTAATGCGCGCGTTCCCTGAGCACGAACCTGGTTCGTGAAGGAGACCCGATTCATTGGTTCATTCCAAGTCCTAAGTCCCCTGAGGGAGGTGCCATAACGTTGACCCTCTCTACTTTCGGCGAAACTTCTCGGAAGGGGACGCCGAACCTTCGCCAGTACTTTTTCCCGCCCCTCGAAACGAGTCTGCCCTGCCTGTCATGGTACCCTCTTCCCCCGAACACAACGCACCCTCATTTTGACTGTATCGGGCCGCAAAGATAGTTTGTATACATTCAATATTACTTATCAGGGTGTGTAATGTTGGGGAGG